CCCCCCCCCCCCCCCCCCAAGCCACTGTGCTAAATATTGCAAGATGTTTTGGATGTAGATGTGATGAGGCAGGATATAGCATGGCACAAAGTGATTGAACAAAGGCTGACCATCCTGCTTTAGGAAACCCTTTTATAACGGGATAGCACTTGCAGCTCTCTGATTGATTTCACTTGTTACCTTGAGGCGCTGTTTAATTTTTTCGATTGGTCATTAAAGCAATAGTCTTGGAAACCACAAGCGGCTCTTGGCTCTCTCTGGTAATCTGTGTATATGGTAGACATTTGTTCCAGCTCAGTAGCACTTTATTAGGATAATAAAAATTACAACAGATTTCCATTCCATCCTGGAACGCGCCACTGAATGAACTGCGCAGTCAGTGTTAACATCTTCTGCCTCTTTGTTAATTCGTTGTGAAGGAATTTCTTTCCTAACATACTATAGAAGCTCTTACATTAAAGATGTATAGTTTCCGACGGTGCGTCTTGTGTGAGCTCACTTGTGGATTTGCCGTGGGCGCCACGGTGGAAGAGCTAGGTAAATGGCTTTTCTTGTTTCTGCCAGGGTTGCTATATATCCGTCTTGCTGTACACTCACATTCCACAGCGGCTGTATAATAATGCTCATTGTCCAAAAAACAAAAAGTAAGTCGACCACTCAACTAACTGGCAGCCAGTGCGCAGTGAATTTTGTCTTCCTAGATCAGCGGTAGGTAACCCCAGCTGTGCTGAAACTGCAAATCCCATTTATGCCTCTGGGAGTCATGCTTGTGGCTGTCAGAGTCTTGCAGTGCCTCATGGGACTTGTAGTTCCACAACAGCTGGAGCGCCGTGGTTGCCTACTCCTGTCCTAGGTGATGATCGTATACGAAAGATGTGCGGTGGTCCAGGCTGAGGACTGCCAACTTTGGGGACATTTGGAATGACAGTTGAATAGTTACACAACATTGCAATCAGAGAATAATTTCATCTTTCATTACAATGCTGTAAACAAATATATTTCTGCTTTAAATAGATGACAAACCTAAGCGGTTTCATTTGTTCCATACTCCTCCCAAATCTCTGCTGGGAGAAAGTTAGCTGGTGTGTCCCTTCTGCGTGAGCAGTCTGTGTGATCTTCTTTAAAGAAGGCCTCCACGGAAACCTATTAACCCTTAAAGTGGGGCTACCCCCCTTCGTTTGTGTCTAGTGTGTAAAATAACAGATATACTCACCAGAAGCTCCGATCCGGCCAGCAGTCACGGCGCTCTCACCAGACTCTCTTCCTCCTCTGCAGCATTGGAATCGTCCTCGGCATCCTCATGTCTATACACTGTGTATAAAACGGGATCATTTACGGGACCGTTGCAGAGGAGAGGTAGAGACACTGGAAGGACCAGTCTCAGAAGAAGCTGGCTCGGGGCATCAGGGTGAGTATAACTTTTTTTTTTTTTAAACCTAGGCACAAACGAGCACTTAACCGTTGGAATGCAGGGTAGTCCTACTGCATGGGTTAATAAAAAGAAATCCTGGAATGCTTCTTTAAAGCCCAGTCCCAACCAAAACTTTTGTTTAGGATAGACTTGGAAGAACTAACCTACCTGAGAGATTGCTCATCACTTCTTGTCTATAGTTGAAGTAAGGGGAAATCACCCCCACAGAAACACTGGCCAAAGATAAAAATGTGACAAAGGGTCCATCCCTCCTCCACTCTGCTTTGGCTGGATTTGGGCTTTATACAACCTTTCTTTGTGGATTATCTGCCAGTGTATGGGATCAGTAAAGTAGATCTTTACTCCCTTTCACTAAAAAGCACATTAGCATGCAGCTCTGCATGCTGATATTAAATCATCTTACGGTTATTAGTTAAGCCAACATATTTTTCTTTTATTTACAATTGTTTTTTCCACTTCCTGGTCCTCTTTGGGCATTAGTGATGTAATGTGCCAAAGCATTGCATCCTGGGGAGGTTACATCAGCAGAGCATTGCTGGGAAATTTCATCTGTAATCTCACAAGATCTCAGGAAAAGGCATTTTCACCCCCTGAGATGATGTGCATGGTCACATGTCTTGGTCACATGTCTAGTCACATGTCTTAGTCACATGCGCCAGAGTTACAGGGAGTAAAGGGGATATATTAATCTGCCCTTAGAGAAAATGGCCTCTGTGAGAAGAATGGGGAGGAAAATCGAAATAAGATATAAAGTATAAAAGCCTTTAATTATCTAGAAGTATGTGTTTGTAGATTATTATTACTAAACATTTCTAAAGGTGTGTTTGTTTTTCATTTAAAAAAAATATGGGTAATGTTCCTCTTTAAGGGCCTGTGTTGGGTATGGAAGCGTTGTCCAACCCAGTCCCAACACATAGGCAAGGCAATTTGCCTTGATCCTATTGCTTCAGTTCACACCAGTAGGCTGCATTGGTGTGTGCTGAAAACATAGAATGTGTTGCATTTTTGTACAGCATGTTCTGATGCATTATAATGTTCAGAGTATCTCAATGTTCAGCGCATTATATTTATTTCCACTCACCTCATAGTTCTAGCCGACCTGTGACAATGAGACTGTCACAGGTCGGCTCAGTAGATCGGGAGGTGAGCGAACAGATATCGGCGTTCACTCACCTCTCGATCCTATCACGGCTCTCTTCCGTGACAGGGGAGGGGCTGGATCCCCCCCTCCCCGCTCCGATCCGCCAGCGCTGACTGGCGGAACGGACGGGGGAGGGGGCGGGTACAGCTGGCTCTGCCTCTAGATAGGCAGAGCCAGCTGTCACTCACGCAGCTGGGCGGATCTCGACATCGATGTCGGGATCCGCTCCAGCTGCGGCGTCTCAGTATGCTGTGAGCTGTAGCTCGCGGTATACTCAGCTTAGGGTAACGGGAGGACGCTAGTTTGTGTCCTCCTGTTACCCTAAGGAGAACTATGGGGAAAAGCCTTGACCCCATAGTTCTCCTTTAAGAAAAAAAGCAAGCACGGCAGTGTATTCTAACAATGCAGCGCACATGCACAGTGCACACCAGCACCCTAGGGCACGCCCATTGGTATGAATGAGCCCTAAAAGCAGATCAATAGGAAATGAAAAAGGTGTTCTAAACTTCTGTGTCCATCATTTTATTGAGGGAAGGAGGTGAAAACTAAGAGTTTTTTTCCCCTAATAAAAGTGTGACTATGTACAAATGTGTTGTGTATATACTGTGTATGTACTGGGGGTGGGACCCCAACATGCATTCTAGAAGGCCAAAAAAGGCACCTGACCCCTTAACCCACTTCAACATCTAGATGGGACATGTGCATTGTGTTGGGGAATAATAGGGTCAGGTATGTTTTGGAATAGGGACGGGTATGGACCCATTGGAAATGAATGCGCACAAGCACCACAATGTGTGTCGACGCATGACGCAATGGTCATGCAAACTGGACTCTCGCTGTTAATTGGTTCTTGCTACCCCTAGATGTCAGGTACATGTGGAAGAATTGAATAAATGACAGAGAAGGTGAGAAATAAAAAGCAGCAAGTACTTTTCATAGATAGGCTTCTTTTAGTGAATGCACCCAAGGATTTCTGGGCAGATCAATATTGTAAAGGCTGCAAGTTGGCACACGGTTATCCAGAATGCTTCTGACTGGTCATTTCTGGTTTAGGTTTGGAGGATCTGGTGTTGGCAGAGATAAGTTCCCCCAGTCGGACGCAAACGGGTGACAGCAGCAGCGTCTCTTCTTTCAGCTACCGAGAGATGATGAAGGAAAACACAGCCCCCAGTAGCAATAAGGTAATACGTGGATACTTCTTGTTTAAAATATTTTGTGTCACTTTCAAAGCATGTTTCTGATATGTATTAAACAAAATTGGGAATACTAGAGCTACCCCGTTCTGTACCTATTATATACCGTAGATTGTGTTTGACACACACACACACACACACACACACACACACACACACAGAAAGTTTAGAGTTAGGGACACGCTTATCAGGTTCATGGATGCAGCAGTGTGGCTTCTCCATGTGTTTGCTTTCTTACTGGGGAATGCCACCTCTAGTTTTGCTTTACCATTAGGATCCATTTTGAAGAAATAAGCACAAAGCACACATTAGTCTGTCCTCTGTATCTCATCACCGGCACACACGTTGGTTTGTTTTCTGTAATTGGTTTGCTTTCTGTATACTGCTGACAGAACACCCATAGGTCTCTCCCCTATAGCCTGTGGCCAGCACACACATGGGCCTCTCCCCTGTATCCTATCCCCAGCATACGTATTGATTTCTCTCTTGTATCCCACCTAAGGCGAGCACATTGTTTGGTTTATCTCGTGTTTTCCCCAGCCAGCACACACATTTGTCTCTTCCTGTATCCTTCCCCCGACACACACAATGGTCTCTCCCATGTATCCCACCCCCAGCACACACATTGGTCTCTCCCCTGTATCCTTCCCCCGGCACACACAATGGTCTCTCCCATGTATCCCACCCCCAGCACACACATTGGTCTCTCCCCTGTATCACACCCCCAGCACACACATTGGTCTCTCTGCTGTATCCTTCCCCCGGCACACACAATGGTATCTCCCATGTATTCCACCCCCGGCACACACATTGGTCTCTCCCCTGTATCCCACCCCCAGCACACACATTGGTCTCTCCCCTGTATCCTTCCCCCGGCACACACAATGGTCTCTCCCATGTATCCCACCCCCAGCACTATCCCACCCCCAGCACACACGTTGGTCTCTCCCCTGTATCCCACCCCCAGCACACACATTGGTCTCTCCCCTGTATCCCACCCCCAGCACACACATTGGTCTCTCCCCTGTATCCCACCCCCAGCACACACATTGGTCTTTCCGCTGTATCCCACCCCCTGCACACACATTGGTCTCTTCCCTGTATCCAGCCCCCAGCACGCACATTCGTTTCTCTCCTCTATCACACTCTCAGCAAACACATTGATCTCTCCCCTGTATCTCACTCCTTGCACACACATTGGTCTCTCCACTGTACCCACCCCCTGCACACGTTGGTCTCTCTGCTGTATACCACCACCAATGCGCACATTGGGTTCTTCTCTGTATCTTGCAGCCAGAACACACATTGGTATCTCCCCTGTATTCTGTCCCTAGCACACACAATCGACTCTTCTCTGCTCTCACATTGGTTACTTCCTGTTTCCCTCTCACAGCACACACACATTGGTCTGTTCCCTGTATCCAGCCCCCAGCACACACATTGGTTTCTTCTCTCTATCCCACTCTCCGCACGCACATTAGTCTCTCCCCTGTGTTTCACTCCTTGCACACATTGGTCTCTTCCCTGTTTCTCACTCCTTGCACACACATTGATCTCTCCCCTGTGTCTCATCCCCTGCACACATGCTGGTTTCTCCCCTGTATTCCACCCCCAGCAAATGCACATTACTGTCCAAGACATGCACCAGTGAAATGCCTGCTCCAGTACAAAAAGGGTCACACCTGCAGTTACATTTGAAATCACTTCTGCCTAATTTCATTCCCTCCAATTGGATACTGGACAACACTTCCCACTCCCCTCTCATTTAAAGTTCAGGACTTTAAATAACAGGAGGTTACATTTATTTCCTAATAGTTATTCAATGCAATGATGTGTGACCAGAAATGTGCGCCCTGTAATCTATCAGCTGCCCGTTCATATAAGACAGTACAAAGGCAGCTTCTAGTGAATAGTGAAGTGCTGTTCGGGAACTGCACTGCTCCAGCGCCCTACTACAGGTCACCATGACATTATTAGCCGGTCACTCTGTGTTAAAAAACATATTGAGGGGAATTTATCAAAGTGAAGCATACAAAATCTGGAGCAGATTTGCATGGCAACCAAACCGCTTCTATCTCTCATTTTCAAATCTTAACTGAACAGACTGAAGAGAGAAGCTGATTGGTTGCCCTGGGCAACTGCTCCAGATTTGGTCTGCTCCAGTTTTGATAAACCCCCCCCCAATTTGTCTGAGCAGTTTAATTATGTCATGGTGAGCTGTAGCAGTATGCTGGTGAAGCGCAGGCCCTGAACGGGGCTTCACTATATGCTGAAGGCTGCCCTCAACCTTGGTTTGATCAATAGGCGATAAATAGGCAACCACTGGATTATATTTATAAAGATATGCAGAATGCAAGAAGCCCCCCCTCTCAGATTTCCGGTGTGACTGACTCACTTGTTGCAGGATTTGTCAAAAATATTCTTCAGGTGCCCCACAGATCACAAGGGGGCTTGTTTGAACTGGGGACAAAGTTAGGATTGAACATTGTGGGTCTCTGCCATGCTGCTGATCAAGGTCTGCCAATGTATCGGGCCATAATGGATGGGAATATATTTGTAACAGCTGTGGCTTCAGCAGCCAGATTACTGGCTCAGATAGCCCAATATTTCATAGAAGCTCTATGGCAGGGAAAATACCTCCCTGCTTGGTCTGTCCCTACCCCTCCACCATCCATCCTGCACTTTTATTCCCTGTGGAGCACAGGGGTATACAAGCCAAATAGCTGCAGTGCTGATGGCAGATTTATAAACTACCCATATATGTTGAATGATATATGACTGATCATTGACTAGATGCATTACATTGAATTTAAATACATGCCTTTGATCTCATTCTTAATTACATATGTGCATATAAGCAGACGGAACCTCATACCATTTATTCTGTATTCTGCTTTGTTCATAGAGTATATATAGTTATTGTGCACTCTATTGTAATGGGCTACAGAGTTTGTTAGTGATATTTGAATTATTACAATGATGACCATAGCAACAAGGGAGGCAGCAGGTGTCATGGAGTTCACCTATGATCCGGCATGACTGCAGCTTCTGCAAGGTTGCGACCAGTAATGTTATACCTCCTACTGCTCAGTCCCTGCACGTGCCAATTTTCTACTGAAATTAGGTAGCTGGAAAAAAAATGGCTGCAGTTGCTTGCAGTACAACTGAGTTGGAGCATCTTCTACTGTCCTGCGATCATTTGCTTGATTGTGCAAATCAAATTGCCCATCAGTTTGCTTTGATTGGTTGTCATGTGTTCCAATGCAGGCGATTGATCTTTATCAAATGTAATTTAGCCAATAAAAAAATGCTTGTGTGTGCCCAGCCTAAGCCAGCTCAGCTCCTCCAGCACCCTCTTCAGCAGCTTTCTGATCGTTTGATCTCTAATGTAAACACAGAGCAGGTGATCTGAGAAGGAGGGAGAAGGGGAAGCTGAGCTGCTGAGAGAGCCGACTTAACTTAAAAGACAACTATGGGGTAAGTGTTTTCCGCATAGTTCTCTTTAGGATCACGGGAGGACATATACTAACCTCCTCATGTGACCCAAAGCTCAGTATATAGCGGGAAATTGCCCGCGATCAACTGAGAGCACCACAGCCGGGACGCATCTCGACAATACTGTCGAGATCCACCCAGCTGCTTGAGTGACAGCGGGCTCTGCCTATCTAGAGGCAGAGCCAGCTGTGCCCGCCCCGTTTGTTCCTCCACTCAGTGCTGGGGGATCGGGGAGGGGGGAATCCCTACGGCGAGCGGTTACTGACACTTACCATGCACTGCAGGGAGACGATCAGGAAGTGAGCGGATCGGCGGCATGTTTCTGCTCTCTTCCCGATCAATAGAGCCAACCTGCGACAGCTTCTTTGTCACCGGTCGGCTCTAACTATGACTCACTCATAGTTCTCCTTTAAATGTTTTTGCTGTGAATTTCAAGGATGAATTGCTTTACAGTACCTGCGACAGCTTCTTTGTCACCGTTCGGCTCTAACTATAACTCACTCATAGTTCTCCTTTAAATGTTTTTGCTGTGAATTTAGAGGATGAATTGCTTTACAGTACCTGCAGCTACAGAGGTCAGTGAGGACTTGTTCTCAAGCTGACTTGCTGCTTGTTAATAATATGTAATAGTTCAATGGCCATAGCCTAACTAATGCTAGAGATTGAAAGAGGGAACTGGCTAACTTCCTTTGAGCAGAGACCTTTGTGTCAGAATAATGGATTGTTCTGTGATGTCTATTCTAGTCTAACAGTGGAAGTCCACAGTCCCAGCCACAGAGACCGGCCGAGCTGTCAGATGAAGAAGTGTCTGACCTCTTTCAGAGATTAGCAGAAATTCAGCAAGAGAAGTGGATGCTGGAAGAAAAGGTAAGTCTCTATACTAAATGTTTTAATAACTTAAAACCTAACCCTAAAGCAGGTATATGACACGGGGACGCTATTAGAAGTAGACGATTATAGTAGATGAAAGTAGAACAGGGATCTTTGACTGGAGTTCTTTGATACAGCAGTTTGAGTTTTAGAGGTTTTAAATCTATTCTGTCAGAGTGAAAAGAGCAAGTCACTGAATTCATAAAGTGATTTGACTTTGCTGAGTCTGACCAGATCAGTGTCACGATGTAATAATAGAACCTGCTGTAGATATTGCACTGCTGATTACATGGAAATCTATGTTTGTGCCTCTTTTACTGTTAAAACCTATGAGCAGCGTGGGCCCCTTTTTTTTTATTGGACTTTCTATTCTGTGTAGTGAAGCCAGTTAAGATCCAGGAGCCAAAAACCTGCAGCTGCTAAGGTGGATGGTATACACCGGACTTCTTGCGGCAGCATATTGCGGAATTTGTAAAAGGTTATTGTTAGGCTATGGTTGCATGGGTAATTCATTCTCTATGCTAGTAGGAAATTTAACTGCTTGCTGACTATCATCTAATTAGCATCACATTGATTTCAGTTTGCTGCTAATCGAGTGACTGCTAACAAGCAGTTAATCTATCAGCATCACAGAAATTTAGAAGAAACCTTTACTTAGAGAAATATGGAGAATGCCTTGCTGGTCAGTGGCCTTAATACTTTCAAGGTGAAAAACAATATTGTGCCGAGCTAATAATCATACATATCTAATAAATTGAAACATATATAAATGAGTCACATATATGAGCCTTCAAACAAATGAGGCATAATAAATATCTACACACATACAAAAAAGCAATATAAGCAAAAAAAGTCCCAAGGAAAAAACAAACGCAAACAATGGTGATTGTGCAAAAAATTCCTCAGATGATTCGCTAAAAAGTGCATTTGACCTAGCTCTGTGGGTCTACCTCCCCAGGTGAGCATTCACTTGTTATCATCACTCACTGGGTGGAGGTGAAGGTCTGCCTGCATTGTGTGATTATCCTTACCTGAGAGTTATATGCACATTGGCTGCGAATCATCTGAGGAATTTTTTGCACAATCACCATTGTTTGCGTTTGTTTTTTCCTTGGGACTTTTTTTGCCTATATTGCTTTTTTGTATGTGTGTAGATATTTCTTATGCCTCATTTGTTTGAAGGCTCATATATGTGACTCATTTATATATGTTTCAATTTATTAGATATGTATGATTATTAGCTCGGCACAATATTGTTTTTCACATTTTCCAGATATTTAGTTATATCCTTAGTGCTTGGTAGCTCATATTTCCACATTACACTTACTGGCGCTGATCACCTTTATTGTTTAGTTTTAATACTTTCAAGGTGACTTGGTCTGCAAGCAAAATTCAGTTTAAAATCATAAAATATGACAGTACCGGGTTATAAAGAGATAAAAAGTTGTGAGATTTCAGTTGAGCTTCAAGGGAAAGTTTGCCCTTACCTACCCACAGTCCACAGTGCGAGTGTTAAATCCTTCACTTTCTCGTGTGGGATAAAGTTAATTTTTATAAGCTAGTTATAACCAAGTTGATGCAGCCCGTTTAATGAAAGCTTTTAATGTGCACAATGCTTATACATGGTGTTCACATATATAATTATCTGCAATGTGTGCTCACCGCAGAGCCCACTCTTTCCATACTTCACTTTAATCTGACCAGCACTGACAATGGTTTTCATTTATTGTCTATCTTGCAGGTTAAGCACTTAGAAGTGAGCAGCGCCTCTATGGCGGAGGACCTATGCAGGAAAAGTGAGATTATTGAGACCTACGTCATGGACAGCAGGATAGGTGAGTGATGCACTACACTCAGTGACCGTGATATTTCCCTCTGTGCCATGGTTAAGTAGTATTGGGTGTTTGTTATGGAACATTAAGTCTCAGAAATTCCAATAACTTTAGGGCAGATGTGAGGCGTAGCATGTCTTACTTATCCAGCAGGTCATAGGACCCTTAGGTTTAAGCTATTCTAGGACACTTCATTTCTTGCAATTGTAGCATTCTAAAGCCAATCGGGTCCTGGTTTTCTCAATGTTATGGAGGTCCTAGTAGCCACTGGTGTTCCAGCAATTTAGTAACAAAAAGTATGCACCAACAGTCTTTTTTGTACTACCTGTTGTAGAACTAAGTTCCAGCAGTCTTTGCTTTCCACTGTTTGGGATCTTCAAACTGCACCATAGTGCTTGAGATTCTGGTTCTAGCTACTGTATAACTATGGGCCCCCCTTTTTCATATCAGACTGGGGCTTTGTCGTAGGTTTAGAAGTACTAAGTCCTAACATGGCCCTGGGATCTATAGTTTCATAAAAGTTTCAAAGGCATCAGGCTGAATATCCTATCTGGAACTGTGATAGTTTCTTTGTATGTATTATGTAAAAATTTTTTACTTCTTTGCTGTTTTACAATTATGTGTATGTTAAAGGAGAACTATGAGGCAAGTGATTTTCACTCAACCTCATAGTTCGAGCCGACGTGTGACAATGAAACTGTCACAGGTCGGCTCAATAGATCGGGAAGTGAGCGAACACATGCAGTCGCTCGCTCACTTTTTGATCCTGTCCCTGCAGAGAGCCGTGACTGTCGCTCACGGGATAATGTTGGGATCCGTCCCGGCTGCCACGGTCTCAGTATACCGCGAGCTGTAGCTCGCGGTATACTGAGCTTTGGGTCACGGGAGGATGCTAGTTTATGTCCTCCCGTGACCCTGAGGAGAACTATGGGGAAAAGCACTGACCCCATAGTTCTGCTTTTAAAATAATTTTTCTGTTCAGGATAAAAATCACCAATAAACTCACATAATATAATTTTTTATGGACTGTGAGCTACAACAGTAACTGCATTGAAAGTTACAAATCACCTCCCTACAGCTCAAGGCAAGTTTCTAATCAAGCCCAATGATATTTGGGATTTTGTTAAGATAGCAAAATCCCAATAAAAAATATATCGGGCATATTTATTTTTTTCCTCAAGTGGTATAAAACTCTTCACCAGTTTCTTAGGATTTTCTAGAACGGAGCCATCAGATTAAGGTAAAAAATCTGAGGTAGGCTTATCTTTGCTTTGACCAGAGCATAAATGTGCAGATCAAGCATCTCCTGCCATAATTAATAAGATGATATTTGTTTATTGTTGGGTGTTTTGGGTCAAAAATTATTCCAGCATTGCTAGCAATAGGATGTGCGTTACCAAGCCACAGATACTTTTCTTTCTTGTCTATTGAGGGACACAGGAAGTCTTTCACCTTTTGAGTTATACTGCCACTTACAAGATGGTTGGACACTGGCAGGATAATCCCTCCTACTACCAGAATGCCTCAGTTTTTTGTGTTCTGGGAGGATGGATCCCTTCTTTTCAGCTCTGCTCTGTGGAAGACGAAGCTATTTTTATTAGCATCTTTATTTTCATTATTCTTCAAACTTTTTCTAATTCAATCAAGACTCTTCTCTACATTGCTGCTAGAGCTTGTCTCTTCCATTGCAACTATCCAGCATAGCCATCCTCAGACTGGCTTTCAGTTCTCAATCCATTCCTGCTGCCCTCATAGAATGACTTTGGTCACCTCCCGGCTATTCAACCTTTAGCTGCTTCCCAACTGTCTGGGTTTCATGAATACCTGTGGCCTTATCTCTTAACCTGAGCCTAATGTTACCTTATTATAGGCATAGAGGTGATGGTCCCACTGTAACGGGTGCCCCCCACTGTCATGATTTTGTAGTCCGCAGTTTAGTGCTGCTCAAGTGACATTGTCACCTTGGAAGCCTGTCTGCCCATGGTAAGAAAGCGGCATGGTTACTTATAGTGTTTATTCTGTTCCATCACCCACCGGTTACTGTAAAGGTAGCGCCATGAATTAAATTATATCACTTATCACTTTAATGGGTCAGTAGGAATTTGCAGAGGTGTGAACGCTTTGATTTTACTTACAAGCTTTGCTTATCTGGAACAGCCCAGTATTCAGCATTAGCAATGCGGGAAGAAAGCTGCTGCAGGTATGTGCACCCCTAGGTGCCTGCAGTCCTATTTTCTAGGATCTGTTTTGTAAACTGACCAAGTCACTTTAAAAAAATGGCATACAGTTAGACTTTCCACAGAGCTTTCCGCTATCCTTTCTGCTGGCCTTCTTGGCTTGTCTGGTTCTGTTTCATAGGCGTCCAGTGCTGTTGAAGAGTAGTGACTGTAGAACTGGCAGTGCTTCTCTAATACAAAATGTACTACTGATTTTCTTACTGGATAGGTAAACACCGTAGTATTGTTGTGTCGCCCTTAAGTGAAGACCAGGATGGCATTTCAAGTGGATACCCACCACTGACATAAATAACTGTATACAGTTTTTCTATGCTAATCAACTCTATGTAGATAACATTAAGCAGCTTTTGCTGTTGACTTGGCTATTGCCGGAGATTGTGGGTGTTTGAGCGGATGTCGGTGCAATGCCAGCACTTGCTGTTCTTTGTGCCACCTGTTTGCCGGCCCGCCTTGGCATCTTCATCCTTCTCCACCCCTCCCAGCTCATGTTGGCTCTCCTTTCTCTATCCGTCCTTGGGGTGTCACTGGATTCTCTTACATCTTCTCTCCACTGCTGTAGCGTCATCTCCTGTACATCTTGACTTAAAAACGTATCAAAGTCACTTAGGCTGTCCTCTTTTTGTGTGCATGTGAGATGTTAATTTAGAGGAAAAAGATATATTTGAATAAAACATTAACAAACATTTAAAACATTCACAAACTTCAAAAACTAATAGCTATGTCATTTATGAGTGCAGCATACTACTTCATTGTTATAGTAAATAATACTTTCCTGGTTTTTTACTTTACTCATTTGACAACCAGTGGTAGAGAAAATCAATCATTTACTAAGCAAGCATCATATGTCAGTGATGTCACCAGTCTCCAGTGAATGGTTAGGCTGCAGCATTAGTGATGTCACCAGTCTCTAGTGAATGTATAGGCTGCAGTTTTAGTGATGTCACCAGTCTCTTGTGAATGGATAGGCTGCAGCTTTAGTGATGTCACCAGTCTCCAGTGAATGGATAGGCTGCAGTTTTAGTGATGTCACCAGTCTTGAGTGAATGTATAGGCTGCAGTTTTAGTGATGTCACCAGTCTCTTGTGAATGGATAGGCTGCAGCTTTAGTGATGTCACCAGTCTCCAGTGAATGGATAGGCTGCAGTTTTAGTGATGTCACCAGTCTTGAGTGAATGTATAGGCTGCAGTTTTAGTGATGTCACCAGTCTCTTGTGAATGGATAGGCTGCAGTTTTAGTGATGTCACCAGTCTCGAGTGAATGTATAGGCTGCAGCTTTAGTGATGTCACCAGTCTCTAGTGAATGGATAGGCTGCAGTTTTAGTGATGTCACCGGTCTCTTGTGAATGGATAGGCTGCAGTTTTAGTGATGTCACCAGTCTTGAGTGAATGTATAGGCTGCAGTTTTAGTGATGTCACCAGTCTCTTGTGAATTGATAGGCTGCAGTTTTAGTGATGTCACCAGTCTCTAGTGAATGGATAGGCTGCTTTTTTAGTGATGTCACCGGTCTCTAGTGAATGGACAGACTGCATTCTCAGTGATGTCACTGGTCTGTAGTGAACAGATTGATTAACATTCTTTGTTTCAATATTTGTGTTGGTTTTAACAAGTTTACAATGAATTCCTTGTAAATATTTGACGGTAGTACAGTAAACGTATTAAGTACAATGGTTTTAACCATAACTGTAGTCAGTGATGTAGGTTTCAGAACTGTCTAATAAGGCATGGATTACATTCTCAGTGATGTCATCTTTCTCTAGAGAATAGATAGGTTGCAATGTCAGTCTATTCTTACATAAATGGAACAATTGTGTTCTCAGTGATGTCACTTGGCCTGTTAGGCCCAGGAAATGCTGGGACTTGTATTTCCATAGCAGCAGCAAGACTGACCCAAGTGAACCTGACTCATGCAACCAAGCTAAGAAAGATCTAGAGTTGGTGATGCATACATAAGTCGTTATTTAGAGCAGCACACACAAACACTTAAAGCATGACAGACTTGGCCAGTCAGTGGTGTTATAAACCATAGAAGCATAAACACCTCAGATGCACTGGCCATACCTTGCTCAGTCTGTGTTGAGGTAACCTTGTGTCATAGCATGTCAATATGACACTCAGATGTCATCTTTTATCCTACTCACACTTGGAGAGATTTTAACGGTGCTACCAGTGCTTGAATATCTGCTCACCCTTGTTGTGATTGCCAAGTTGTAAGCACACATGGGTAGTTTCTTGCTGCTTTGGCACATGTTGGAGCAATGGTGTACTTGACTTTGGCAGAAGAGGTGTAAAATTGTGATGTTCTATGTTCTGGTGAGTAGGAGGTTAAATAATGCAGAACTCTGGCATGTGAATAGTTAGGTAATAATAGACTCTGGCATAAGATAGTTTACGGGATGATTAAGATGGGCTAAATGTTGTTGGGCTATGGTAGGTGAGGAGGTTTGTAATGCTGAACTGGGCTCTGGCAGGAGAAGGGTTAAGGGATGCTGTGCTGGGCTCTGGCAGGAGGGGGGGTGAGCAATCATGTGCTGGGCTCTGGCAGGAGGGGAAAAGGGAAGCAGTGCTGGGCTCTGGCAGAAGGGGAAAAGTGAAGCAGTGCTGGGCTCTGGCAGAAGAGGATAAGTGAAGCAGTGCTGGGCTTTTGGTAGGAGAGAGGGGTAAATTATGCTGTGTTGGGCTATGGTAGGAGAAGGGGGCAAATTATGCTGTGTTGGGCTATGGTATGAGAAGGGGCAAATTATGCTGTGTTGGGCTATGGTATGAGAAGGGGCAAATTATGCTGTGTTGGGCTATGGTATGAGAAGGGGCAAATTATGCTGTGTTGGGCTATGGTATGAGAAGGGGCAAATTATGCTGTGTTGGGCTATGGTATGAGAAGGGGCAAATTATGCTGTGTTGGGCTATGGTATGAGAAGGGGCAAATTATGCTGTGTTGGACTACGGTAGCATAGGATTCAATAATGTTGTGCTGGGCCAAGGTAGGAGAGGGGGTAAATTACGCTGTCTGGCAAGAGAAGAGTTAAGAGTAAGTAAGCTGGTAAGCTGACCCCTGACAGGAGGGGAGTTAAGTGATGGTGTGCTTAGTACCGACAGGAATTGAGTAATGATATATTGGACTCTTATTAGAGTGGAATTAAGCGATCTTGTCCGGGGCCCTGGCAGAAGTGGAGTTAAGCATCACTCTGCATATCTCTGCCAATCCAGTTCGTGGGAGGTGATTTTCTCAAGGGATTTAAGGCAGTCTAGCGCAGATTAGATAACATAGTGATTTTATAATGTGTCTGGATGTCTGCTGATTGTGCTGCCACCTTGTTTAGCAAAAGACAGTAATTCTCTGCCTGCCAATCTGACATATGCTGGCTGCAGAGAGCAATATGGATCCCGCAGCTTCTAAAGATCTGTCTGTGCTGGATTGTCATCAGATTCCAGAGATTTCAGTCGTTATATCCTAAGTGACACTGCCAACTTCACACTGGTATCGGCTTCCCTTTTCTCCGTTTCCGCACGTTCGCAACCCGAGCTTGACCAAGGATTTAGCCATTATCTACCAGCCGTTAACCCTTCCTCAGCCAAACGTGATTTTACTGTGCTTGTCTCTTCTTTGACTTCACACCAGTCTCTGTGCCCAGGTGTATGTGGGCTCTTATATTCTTTCAGTGAAATAATGTTCCCTCCCTGATGCCAATTCTGTCCTGTTACCCAATCTTAGTACAAAAGGACATGACGTGCTTGGTGAATTTTGAGGCCGTCAGCAAGTGGGGGGCTGCAAGGTGTGAATAATTTAGCTGCAGGAAGATTGGCTGATGTTTTATTTACTAAGGCATAAAGTGGAGAGAGGTGAGGGGGTGTGTCATGAGGAGGATACAGCGGATGTAGAAATTGGGAGGTGGGGGAGGTTCAGCTCTATGCTCAGTCTGCTGAGGGCTGAACACTCTTAGAAAATGGATCCACTTTATAAAAACCTGAATAATTTACATTTCACTAAAAACATTGCTGCTGCATTCCTGCGCCTTTGCCAAGGAGTTGAATGAACTCTTTATGGGGTCCTGGCACTGTGGGCCTGGAATCATCACTGCAACAAGGACCCGCTTCACAAAGATGGAGTTACTGTTTGTTCTAAGACCACCATATAGGAAGTCCTATACATGAATGCAACTTTTTCCATGTCACATAAGCCTGAGCCATCCTGTCCTACAATTCCTTAGTTCCTCCTCCATCAAAAGGCTTTTGTCCACTCCTTGTACACATCATCTTTTTTATTTTCTTGTGAGGATAGATGTAAGGGAGCTGACATATCCAACCTTGCTTTTATAGGCACAGACGGCAGGGCTGTCATTCTGACCAAGGATTTACATTCTAGTGATTCATTTTGCCTAGTGGCAGATTCTAGGTCTTGCCACCCTGGCTGGGCAGTTTTATCACTCTGACATGTTCTGGGTCGAGCCTGTGACATCTGCCATGGTTAACATGTCTGGACTATATCTAGTGGGAGTTGCACTTGGTGTACCTCTATAACATGTTCCAACCAGACTAACTGGTTGTGTTTTAAGTGGCTCTTTTTCTGAAAATGCTACTAAACAGTATATGATTTCCTGTGCAATGCTGACTTCCTATATCTGAACTGCTTTACCTGCTGAAAGTATTTTTCATTCTGTTCCACCAACCTTGGGATGCAGACATGACTGCCAGACACTATAGCCAGCTTCCTGCAGTACAGCTTGGTCTAATCTAGCAGAACCTGATTGTCTCAAAGGGTTGACAATTCCTCTAACCGTTGGCATCCAGTTTTAAGCAATATGTACTTTAAATGGTGGCAACGTCCATTCTCATGTTTTCTGGTTTGTCTAATATTTTTAATTTGGCTATGAAGCAACGTCTCCTTTTGATGTTTGTCATCCAATCTTTTTTCCATCAGATGTATCAACCACACATGGCCAGGTGGATCGGTCCAGTCTCGGAAGTGTCCTGAGAGATTTGGTGAAACCCGGAGATGAAAACCTGCGGGAAATGAACAAGAAGCTACAGAATATGTTGGAAGAACAGTTAACCAAGAATATGCACCTCCAAAAGGTGGGTGACCTGAATTTCCAGTAGACAGTGTGTTTGGCTTATGAAGAGCTTTGCTGGCATGTTTCCTACAGCCTTTTATATATGATGGGGAAAATGCAGAGGCTAGCCAGAATGCTGGTACTTTTTAGGTTGTCCCTAAATTCATAGTGTGCTAGTAACATTACATAGTTACATATAGTTACATAGTATTTGGGGTTGAATAAAGACATAAGTCCATCAAGTCCAACCCATATAGGTCCACTTTAGGAATACCTGTATCCCTGAATATTACGGTCCCTCAGGAAATCGTCCAAACGTTTCTTGAACAATTCCACATTCTTAGCTGAAATCACTGCTGGTGGCAGTGAGTTCCAGACCCTAACCGCTCTTACTGTGAAGAACCCCCTTTGCCCCTGGGATGCTGGGATTTTTTCTCCACCAATTTTAGGTGGTGGCCTCTAGTCTTTGTAATGGAGTTAAATTTAAAGAGTTTGTTGCCAATGTTGCTGTCGCCATTGAACATCTTGTACATGAAAATCATATCCCCCCTTAATCTCCTTACTTCCAACGTGAACATGTTTAAATTCAGTAGCCTTGTCTCATAGCTCTGGTCCTCCATTCCCCTAATTAGTTTGGTTGCCCTCCGCTGAACTCTCTCCAGCTCAAGGACATCCCTTCTTAGTACCGGCGACCAAAACAGGACCGCGTACTCCAGATGAGGCCGAACCAATGATCTATGAAGTGGCACAATTATAGACTTGTCCCTGCGACACATCCCCTTCTTAATACAGGACAAGACCCTGCTAGCTTTGTTTACAGCAGCCTGGCACTGCAAGCTACCATTCAGTTTGTCGTCTACAATGACCCCCAAGTCTTTTTCTATTTTCTAACTATTTCCATCATGTTTCCACCAACTAGCTGAGGGACATACCGGTAGAGGCAAGCAGGTCATCGTTGTAAGAGAGCCAGGGAGAGAACCATAGAAGCAAGATAACAAGAACATTCTGATTGACATGGCTCGTATTGCCTGCATCCTGAGAAAGGCAAGGGTTTTCCCAACATCCTGTAAGAGATCAGGAGACTGCTAACATTATCAGATATGCAGAGAACATATTGGTATCTTGAGAGAGTCAGGGGGATTACCATCAAGCTGAGAAAAGCTAGGATTTACAAAAATTCTTGAGGCAGGCAGATCATCCATCATCCAGGAGAGCCATGATGACTTCACAATAACTTGATTGCTATCATCTTGGAACAGGCAGTGGTTTGTTAAAATCTTCAAAGACATACGGGTATTACAAGCATCTGAGGCCAATGTACTGTAGTAGACAAGGAGGTTAATTAGGATTTGAGGGGTGATGAGTAAACTGTCCACATTATGGAAGTTTTGGAACACATCCGTAACAGTCAAGCACGAGCCCTCAGCTCCCCTGCAGTTTGAGCCAACCGACCTCAATTTCACACAACATCACGCATTAAACATCATCCTAAAGTTCTAGCCCTGAAGAAGAGAAACCTGAAACACATTGGTTGTCCTTGTATATACTTTTACCAAAAGGCTTTTTTTTGACGGCTTCTCTCTTTCACCCACACAACTGTCACACTTTTGAAGGGATCACCAAACCATGGACACTCCACGAGCCAAGCCATCACAGGTCTAGAGCTACCTCACACATTGACCCGAACAAAATATGGAGGAGGTGGGGATGCCGCCGTTAGTGTGAAGTATTATGAAGTATTTAACAATTACATTTTCCTGTTGCTTACAGTCGCCAATTAAATATAGTAGTGTAAAGTAGAACATTCAATTAATCTAGTGCTTGCTATGAACTGCAAGATCAAAGATTAATTTCCACAAGTGAGGCCTATTTTCGTCAGACTTTTTGGTTTCTGTATTTCCAAGGTAGCTGTAGAAAACAGTTGCAGACCAGGACCCGGGAGAGCTCTGAGCTCTGTGGAAAATAAGCCACCAAGGCAATATTTGTCTTTTCATTCTGCAAGACTTGTAATCAATACTCAGAAATGACCATTGCTGCAATGTGCTGATACACAAGCACTTGAGCTCTCCCTCCGCCGCTCTCGGTAAGGCTGGCTATTCTGCACGCTGCGCTGCTCTAATTATTTTGTGCCGCTACCTTGCTCTGCTCGCTGTGCTGAGACTTGTGTTTCAGAGTATGCTGGGAATTTCAATTGCTCTGCACAATACAATGTGGGAGATCAGGTCACAGTTGTAACACCTGCTGCAGGGCAAGATTGTAGTTAAAGCACAACTCTGAGCAAATCTATAAAAAATTGCCTTTGGCTTGTATATTCGTTCAGAGGTTATGAAATTGTCTTTCAATTTGGCAACTGCAGTTGCCTGAAAGTGTATAAAAAATACTGAGTTGTCACTTTCAAAGTGATTACTAATATCATTTATAGGAAAGTAGTGTCCATAGTAGGGCTGCAACCAACTAATCGATTAATCGATAATGAGAATAATTGTCAACTATTCTCATTATCGATTAGTTGGTTGGATCCCCTAGCTCTCTCCTCCATGATGGGAAGAGGGCACAGCAAGCAGTGGGCGGTTGCAATAGCCAGCCTGCTATTGGTTAATAGCAGGCTGGCTATTGCACCAGCCCACTACCTGCTGCATTTACATTCAGCTGCCATCTGCAGAATCTTGACACTGGCAGCTGTAATTCCCTGCCTTAAGCTATTCAAGTGCCATGTGCTTACAATACAATTAGTAAACAAAAAATGTTAAAAGGTAGGAAAAAAGTCATTTTCGGTTTCGGCCTGACAAATTCTGGTGCGGGAGGTGCGTTGCAGTGCCATTTATTTAAATGGCACCCCAAATGCGCCTCCCACCCACAGTGTGATCGCCCGCATTGGAATGTACGGTACCGCGGTGCCGTGCGCTCCAGTGCAGTGCAATTGCAAAAGATTGTGCATGCAATTTTATTCTGAAGTAAATCTTATGTTTGTAACACTGCATTTGTGTATTTTGTTTTAAATTTAAGGATGGCATTTATTAAATTTTTTTAATCTGATGAATCAAAATAATAATCGGCCAACTAATCAATTATGAAAATAGTCATTAGTTGCAGCCCTAGTCTATAGGCTGTTGGGCAGGAGATGGAGGCACTTCAAAGGAGGAAGAGTGTGGGCATTAGCATTGTAATGTACCCTAGTAGTCCAAGGGCAGCAGAAATGGACACTAGGCAGAGAAGTGAAGTGTGAACTCTAAAAAGATGTGTGCCCTCCTTTTGCTATTCAGGTATATACCCTAGCAGGGGTGGGCGGATGACAAAAGAAACTGCATTTCAAAATCCTTTGGTAAGTTAAAATAAAAAATAATAAAATCCAGGATATACGCTATATTGACAAAAGTATTGGGACACTCCTCCAAATCATTGGATTCAGGTGTTCCAATCACCTCCGTGGCCACAGGTGTATAAAATCAAGCACCTCGGCATGCAGACGCTTCTACAAACATTTGTGAAAGAATGGGTCGCTCTCAGGAGCTCAGTGAATTCAAGCGTGGTACCGTGATAGGTTGCCGCCTGTGCAATAAGTCCATCCGTGAAATTTCCTTGCTACTAAATATTCCACGGTCACCTGTTACTGGTATTATAACAAAGTGGAAGCAACTGGGAACAACAGCAACTCGGCCACAAATTGGTAGGCCACGTAAAATGACAGAGCGGGGTCCGCGCATGCTGAAGCGCACAGTGCGCATAAGTCGCCAACTGTCTGCAGAATCAATAGCTACAGACCTCCAAACTTCGTGTGGCCTTCAGATTAGCACAACAACAGTGCATAGAGAGCTTCAGGAATGGGTTTCCATGGCCGAGCAGCTGCATCCAAGCCTTACATCCACCAAGTGCAATGCAAAGCGTCAGATGCAGTGGTGTAAAGCACGCCGTCACTGGACTCTAGAGAAGTGGAGACATGTTCTCTGGAGTGACGAATCACGCTTCTCTGGCAATCCGATGGACGTGTCTGGGTTTGGCGATTGCCAGGAGAACGGTACTTGCCTGACTGCATTGTGCCAAGTGTAAAGTTTGGCGGTGTGGGGTTGTTTTTCAGGCGTTGGGCTTGGCCCCTTATTTCCAGTGAAGGGAACTCTTAAAGCATCAGCATACCAAGACATTTTGTACAATTTCATGCTCCCAACTTTGAGGGAACAGTTTGGGGATGGCTCCTTCCTGTTCCAACATGACTGCGCACCAGTGCACAAAGCAAGGTCCATAAAGACATGGATGAGCGAGTTTGGGGTGAAGGAACTTGACTGGCCTGCACAGAGTCCTGACCTCAACCCGATAGAACACCTTTGGGATGAATTAGGATGGAGACTGCGAGCTAGGCCTTCTCGTCCAACATCAGTACCTGACCTCACAAATGAGCTTCTGGAAGAATGGTCAAACATTCCCATAGACACACTCCTAAACCTTGTGGACGCCTTCTCAGAAGAGTTGAAGCTGTTATAGCTGCAATGGGTGGGCCAACTCAATATTGAACCCTACGGACTAAGACTGGGATGCCATTAAAGTTCATGTGCGTGTAAAGGCAGGCGTCCCAATACTTTTGGCAATATAGTGTATTTGTTTAAAGCATGCGCTTCTCTGCAGCTGTCCTTTTAAGATGATGGTCAGCACAATGCCGTTTGAGCAGATTTTTGCTACTGATAAGAAAATGCAGCAAAAAATGTATATGAATATGTCATCTCCTGCATGGTGGATTTCCAATGCAGAAAACATTTACTCATCTATGAACTATTTCACGTTAGCAATAGGTCATTATTGAACATTTTATCATTTCATTATCTCAGGGAATCATTTTGAAAATGAATAAGCACTCATCCTCCATAAGCTCTGCCCTGTTCCAGATAGGACACGGCAGTGGGAGGTCATACTTGTCTGTAATTCTATTTTACAATTCGGAGAGGTCTGGTGAGCTGAATATCTTGTTTTTTTACATAAACTTTCCTTTAATGGAGTTTGAAAGCCTACACCTACAGTTTCAAATAGAGCCAA